TGTAGTATCCCATACCTTTAATATTACAAGAGAAGAACCAATGCTAATTTTACAAAGAACATATCAATACAATCTACACAAAATTCTCTATCTTTTGACATCAGAACGAAATCTTCTCATACAGTCTAACTTTAAAAAACAGCTTATCAAAAGCCGGCAATTTCTTCTGCGTCACCCGTTATTTGGGACAACGAGTTTAATAGTCCTTGAAAATTACAGTTCGATAAGATCAATTTCTCCAAATGATATTATTCAAAATATTGACCCCATTTTAAGCATAATTTCTGTTTGACTTATTGGTCGCTTTTTAAGAATTTCTTCCGAAAACATTATTTTTCTCTTTCGAAGTAAAGAAGTTTTGACTGTCAACTTTTAACGTAAAAATTATTGATGAATAATACTACTACTATGTACAAAATTACCTTACTGGTTTTGGTAACCTATCCTAAACCAGGGTAATCATATATGTAATTTTGTAGAGCAAGTTGCAATGCATTGAATGATATATAAAAAATCAAGTTTTTCTCAAATTTTGATGTGCTGACGGTTCTCACACTAATTCTAATGCTGAAACGAAATTATACGGTATTCATAGACTTTATGGTCCCTATGATGTTCTAACATAAACTTATGAGTTTTTTTCATAAAATCCATGGTGTCAAGGATCATCTCACTCATGCTCACAACTTAAACAAGGAAACAATAAAGGATACAGAAGATATAGTACATGGAGAATAAGCCGATGTCTTGGAAACATACTATGAATCTGAGAAAACAAATGACTTTTGACAAAACAGTCATTTATTTCTCGTATGGCATTAAATTGTTAATTATGCTAGGTGATAGAATTTTTTGAGCTTTATCATCGTAGAAATATTCATCGATATCATTTGCTGTCGCATAAAATACACTACCGATATTTTTAGCTGGAAAAAATGCGGAATGCAGCAAAATATGTCTGTTTTTGAAATATCAACTCATTATTCATTAATTTAAACAAAATTTTTAAAATTTTGCGTGTAGTAGTAGTCTTATTCACCAATATCTATTATTTCAAAAGTCTTAAGCCAAAACGATAATTCTTAAAATACGATTAATAAATTAGAAAAGCATTATCATTAAAAATGTAGTCAATATTTTGAATAATGTCATTGGAAGAAGAGATCTCATCAAGTTGAAAGTGTCAGGAATTACAAAACTCGTTGTCCTCTATAACAAAAATAACTTTCAGAAATTTCTAAGATGTCGCATCCTTTTCGATGCTTAAATCCATGAAAGTGTTTATAACTTTCGTTATTCTTTGCATTAACATATCATTGATTTTGTTTCAAACAAAAGCAAAAAAGGTCAGAAACATAATAACAACAGACTTTATAAATATATATATATATCTTCAGAAACATTTCCTCTCCCTCGTTTATAGTGACATACCCATGATGTTTCTTTTCTTCGGAAGGGCTAAATCACTATATATACAGACACAACAAAGAATGAGCAGTCTCACGAAAAATGTGTCCTTGTCGATGGTCATGACACAAAGATTCATTCTTAAGAATTATTATTCTGTAAAATGCATGTGAAACAAAATCAAATCACTGGAATAATTTACGGTACTTCCAATTAAAGAAAAATAGAGCGATAAATTTTTTGCCAATGTCATGTTTCTTTCATTTCTTCTTTTTCTTTTAATGAAAGAAACAGGACAGTAAAGACTATCAAAACACATGAGCTTTCGAATTCTATATATTTTGAATGGTATTAAACTCCTCTTTTGAGATTCCTCGTGCTCTTAGACTGATTGAAAACTAGCTAAATACTATTTATTTTACGATAAATTCACTTGTAAATTTTTCTGAGACTTTAATGCATTAGATTATTATTTGGTAACCGCACGAGAAACGTAAGAAACCCATTGTAAATATTTTGATTAAGATCATATTTTTCTAACGATACATATCGATAGATCATAGAGATTCATTCGAAGTTTTTATTATTTGTGTATAATTAGGTACATGGATCTTGGGTACGTGAAACACAAACAGACTCTTTCCAATATTAGGAACAGAGCTAATTTTTAATGTCTCTCTTTTCTTAACTGAAATGTAGTTATCTTTAGTGTTTCGATTTCAGAACAGCTTTAATACAAAATCTGAGCATACATCATGGCCAAAATTGTTCAACAGAAACCTCTTGTGCAGTAAGTATATTTCAAATTTTGATATCTTCTTCATGAGAGTATTGACGTTTCATTTTATTATCTGGTCGTTGTCAACATTGGCTACCATATTGTGTGTTGTGGTCAGCCTTTTTCTCGTTGCTGTAACAATAATCTTAAGCCTTATATCAGTCTATCTGCCAAATGCCGGTTCCAAAATTGTTGTGTATAATAGCGAGGGTATGTTATATTTCATCATAATAATTATTATTATTATCATCATCATCATTTGTCTTCTCTACTCATTCAGCCTCGACCTCATTCACAGCAACGTATGCAACAAATGCGATAAATGCTAGCAGACTTTTCGTTACTGACCCAACATCTCTGGCGACTAGTGTACGTCTGCTATGTAATGTTTTTCATTAGATACCTAATTTTTTGTACCATCTCGTACAGTTAGCCGAACAGCTACATCTATCTAGAAGCAGCACTGTAAAGGTAATTGTATCTCAATTTCTTCCGTCATCACCGAACAAGAGAAGGAAACGACAGTAAGCCAAATATTAGAGATCACCAGCTATTTTCTTACCATATATAGGAACACATGTGCCCGTGATACACATGGATTCACAGGTGATCGCTATATCATTGAAGCTCAGGTCTTTGATCCGACTGTTTGTCACACTCAGTATTGCATAGAGAAGTTTAGCCAACAAGTTGCACGTGCTGTGCAATTGTACTCATATATAACACTACCATTCAAATCGATCTATGGTGCGTCTGTTTCCATCTCAATGGTCTTATGCAAATTTGGTGAATTTCTTTCAAGTGAGTTCTCTTTCATTCTTTTTTCGATAAAATTTCAATCTATTTTTCTCAAGCACCACCAACTTGCTTCGACAGTATTCAAAATCAGGATGAAACAGGTGTCGATTGTGGTGGTGTCACTTGTTCACGTCGTTGCGATACAAATCAAAAATGTGTTGTAACCTCGGACTGTCAAAATGCTGCTTGTGTCACAGGAATCTGTTTAGGTATGTAAAAGCAGGTCAGTTAATACAAGGATGAATTACAAGAATGGTGTACAGTATAGAAATTATCAAGTATAATCTTTTGTTGACTCAATCGGAGATATGCGTAGATTTTCTCTAATTCGATACTAGCTGATTTCAATTAAGCACGATTTATATATTGTAGTCTCTAGTCTTTTTTCTTTTGGATACAAAAAATTCTAAAATTAATTGTTAGTAGACCAAACCACTGTCTAATATGGGTTACGTTTTTCTAACCAAAACTCAAGTCAAACTTTGTGAGACTCTCAATTGTACAGTTATCAAACGTAGAAGCGAAAACAGTTGTCTAAGACATGATCAAAGAATATATCTAATTGCTGAGCGAGATCTTTATGTTACACCTAATTGAACATAACAAATATTCATAGGACAAAATGAGAAAATCTTGGTTGCTTGCAAGCTTATTAAAAACAAAGTAAGCAATACCTCTAGAGTGTTCTATCCGTTCAATGTTGGATATAATGAAAGTATCAAACATTATGCCGCGTCTTCGACTGCATTGTCTATCTGTACTGTTGAGCCAGGCACAGCTACCGATGTTACAATAATAGTAAGTAATACTATAGCTACGTACAGTATTTAACTAAATCACGTACTTATTCATGTAGTTGGCAGTCATTGGAGAGATTCAAGTTCCATTTGCTATCAAAGGTGGTGGACATGCAATGAATCCTGGATTCAGTTCGACAACGGGCGTTCTTATTGCAATGAATCGCTTCCGTCAAATAACTTACCATGCAAATAGTCAAACAGTAGATTTGGGATCAGGACTCTTGTGGGATGATGTTTATCGAAAGTTGGATCCATTAGGGGTTACTGCTATTGGCAGTCGAGTCTCTGGAGTAGGCGTTGCTGGACTTACACTTGGTGGTGGCTACAGTTGGAAATCAAACCAATATGGTCTCACCATTGACAATGTAGTCGAGTACGAGGTAAGCATAAAGTAACTATCTAAGAAGTTCTGTGCTATGTGAATACTCAAATAAAAATTGTTGACTCTTCCACCAGAAAATAGTAATATTGTATTTCTTGAACATGCCTCAAACGAAATTTTAGAGGTTGTCTTCTATGTAGTAGATATACTTTCTACAAATACAACAGTTTTGAATTTTTTGAGTATAGTCATCTTATTGTCAGGATGTATAGATTCTCATGAGTTTTATGCGACATGCTCCATTTGGCAACATTAGTTATAAAATGATTTCATTTTTGTCACATGTCTTTCAGTTAATTTCTCCAAGTGCCACAATTGTTTACGTGAACAGCGTGTCATATCCGGATATCTTTTTTGGCTTGAAGGGTGGACTCAACAATTTTGGCATTGTAACCAAGTTCACTATGCGTGCTGTACCACAAACAGAAGTCTATGGTGGGCTTCTATTTTACGATCCTCTTGTGATCAATGCGGTTATACAGGCTCTGGTCAATTTTCAAGCAAACAATAAAGATCCAAAAGCACAAATAACTGGATCATTTATTATCTTGCCAAGCCAATATTTCGTCACGCTGCTCGTTTTCTACGATGCACCAACCGCTCCAGCAGGTATCTTCGACGAGTTCATAAAAATCTCGTCTTTTGGGACTCTCAATACTCAATCGTATCTCACGTTTGTCCAGGCTGCACCAGTCACTCAAGCCGTCAATTTACAGTAAATCAATGTCATTCATATTTACAATACATGCTTCGGGATAGACCTATTGAGAGAGTTAAAATGACATTTTCATTGTCTACCAGTCTAAATGAAAATAATTTATAGCACAAAATCCAACTAGAAGCTTTCCAAAAAAATTAACAAAGTTATATTTGAGAGTTGTCTCACTTCTGCTCAACAGAAGCGAAAACAAATATTTATTTGCTTTTTTGATTAAACAACTTTGAGAACCAGTTTGTAACGTTGTTTAAGGAAGGAAATTAATAAATTTTACAATGCCACAGTTGTGAGGAGTCAGTTGCACACGATCGCTAAAAAAAATGATTAAATGAATCTGCACTTAACAATAAAATATAACAGTTTCTTGTTTTAATAGGAGTCGTTATAGTACTGTTTCCATCACACAATTGAGCACAAATTTACTGCGAACAATAAACAACCAACTTTTATTTTACAACTCGACGTTGGGTTCGAAACCCGGAGCATTCTTTATATACAGTATCGAACCATTTATTTCGACTTATTTTGATAAGTCGCAAGGTGGTGCTTATCCACATGTCCCTTCATCCACGCCACTTTTTCCTCTTCTGATTCAGTTCGGCTGGGAATCGTCATCAGATAATAATGCATTTATTGATGGACTTAAGTCAACGACCAACACCATCTTACAAGCAGCACTTGATGATGGTCAAGATATTGGTGGATCAAAACAGATTCGTTATCCGAATAATGCTCTCGGGGATACGCCTCTCGAGCAAATGTACGGCGATAATGTAGCCAAACTTCGAAGCATCCGCCAAGCATGGGATCCGTACAATATTATGTATCTATGTGGAGGTTTTAAATTTTAAAAGAATTCGTGAAAAAGTGACTTTTTATTTTAGTCTAGGTAGTATACCTTTTGTTTCTTCATATTTAATCACAAAGTTTATTTTATTTCAATAAACTCTATTTAAAACATAACATATCGAAATTATACACGTGAAAATCTAGAATAAATTTTCGCAATCCTCGATATTCTCCTTTAAATATCTTTAATATAATTAGATTCAAACAACTACTACACAAATATGCTAATTTTCTTGAATGTGAGGAGTGTAGAGTGAAGATAAATTTTTTCAATAGAAAAGATTCAAACAAAAGCTTTCCCTAAAAAAATGCCTTGAATGCATTTTTTCTTCTTGAGCTACCCCAGCACGTTTCGATCTTTCTCCAAGGTTCCATTGAATAGCTAATTTATAAATTTTGGATGAGTCATTTCTTTTCAAATTACAAAGGAATAAATCCTCCGAAGTTTTCAAAACCAAATAATTAATTATTTATTTTCTTGTTTGTGAATTATTTTTGTTTTTGTTTTTTTAAGTGAACTTACCATTTGATAGAGAAAACATTTGAAATAATATCAAACTTCTTTTCTTTTTAAATTGTTAGGTTAGACTCGAGAGAAGACGCAAATTTATGAGAAGAATACATATGTCCTTGGCAAAATTAAACTTACGAGGGAACATTCCCAACTGTCACATCGCTTTTGAGTCAAGCATATAGGCATCATGTAGGCCCTAGTGATCTATGAATCCTCTGAAAAAAGTTCGTGCTGCTAGTTTTTTACTGCTGAGATATTGTATTTTTACTGTATGTTTAAGAAAAAAGCCGTGGTCCTCCTCAGAAACATCAGGAAAAGTGAGTTTTGATTTTCCACCTGAAACTTTGCAAGTAGACAGGCCTAAATGAGAATTGTTTATTGTGAAGGTTTCAAATCTTTTGGTTGCTTCTAGTCTGAAATAAAAACATCGGATCTGCTGGTTTATATGAGTAATTTTACCTCAGCTGTATCTTAGGATAGGAACAATGAAAATAGCTGAAACTTTCACAATAAAGTATTCTCCTTGAGGTCTATATCTATGTAAAGTTTCAAGTCGAAATTCGAAATTCAGTTTTCCCAGTGTTCCTGAGGGGGACCACGGCTCTTTTTTCTTAAACATACAGTAAAAACGCAGTATCTCGGCAGTAATAAGCTAGCAGCAAGAGCTTTTTTCAGAGAATTCACAGATCCTTAGGGTCTACATAATGCGTATACGTTCGGCTGAAAAGCGATGTGACACTTGAGAATGGTCCCTCGTTAGTTCGAACAAAATATCGGCAACCGGCACCAAATATCTTGCAAATGCATTAAAATATTGCAAGGTAATAGGAAGACTGTTTTCACCATACATTCTCTCTTTCACAAAGGACACATTCTTGTTTCTTGCAGACACTGACTCATTTGTATTTTAGTGGAAATAAAATTTCAGATGCAGGTGTACAATATTTGGCTGACACAATATGCAACAGCGAAGTAAGAAAAATACTCTTTTCATTGTACATTCTCTCTAATTACCGAGCACATCTTCTCGTGCCATACAGACATTGACTTACCTACGTCTTGATAGGAACAATATTGCAGATCAAGGTGCACAATACTTGGGTGATGCATTAAGAAATAGCAGCGTAAGTGACGCACTATACTCAATTCACTGTCTCTCTGTCTGTCTTACTGATGGCTCCTTGTTTTTTTCCTATGCAGACATTGAAGGAACTTGATATTTCTGGCAACAACATTTCAGATCAAGGTATACAGGTTTTGACTGATGCATTACAGAATAGCACGGTAAGTGAAGTTCTGTGTACACTTCATTTTCGGTTTGATACTATAGACTCCATCTCATTTCATGCAGACTCTGACTCGACTGAATGTTAGTTCAAACAAGATTTCAGCTCTTGGTGCGAAATACCTTGCGAACGCATTTAGAAACAGTACAGTGAGTAGAGAACTGGTTTCATTCACACACAGAGCACTTTTTATCATTTTTTACAGTCACTGAATGAATTGGATATAAGTTCAAACAAAATTTCAGACGAAGGTGCCAAGTATTTTGCTGATGCATTCGGAAATAGCAAAGTGAGTGAAACACTCTTGTCATTGTACTATCCCTCTCACTGATGATCCCTTCTTATGTCATGCAGACGTTGACTCAACTGAAACTCATGTCAAACAAAATCTCAGACAAAGGTGCTCAATATCTTGCCGAGGCATTTCGGCATAGCAAGGTGTGTGAAACGTGGTCTACATTTCGTTCTATCTTACTGATCATTCCATCTTATTTAATGTAGATGTTAACCATTTTATTGCTTGGTCAAAACGAAATTTCCCATGAATGTGCGAATCATCTTGCTGTTGTGTTGGGAAATAAGGTTCGTGAACTGTGTTCAGAACGTCGCGTAGTAACTCACAAAAGTGAATGTTTCGTCATTTTAGGTGGGACTGTGGTGATTGACGGCATAATGAATTGGATTGAGGTGAACTTGAGTATCATGAAAATGTGTATTTTCAAGCATCAGAATAGGTTTTGATTTTGGATGTGTCTTGTCTGTATAAGATACTGAATCATTCATTTTTAGTGTATATGTAATATTTTTTGATGTTATCGATGAATTTTGTGTTGCTTATGTCTGAGTAAATGAATGATTGAATGCAAAATGCTGATAGATATGTGGTGGAAATCGAAATTTTGGAAAGTTTGAAGTCATGCAGATTGAATGTTTTTAGGTAATTTTAGCTGTCTGTGACTAATTGCATGAAAGTTATTGGGTGAAGCAGATTGAATTACCGATTTCACTAGGCTTGGTTCTTCAGTTGGACTGAGTCTACAAGTTTTGTTCTGATGGTCAGTGATAAAGTATGTTTTTTTGTAAATAAGAATTTTCCATATTTTGTAGGCTAAAATATATTGTACGTCCCGAAAACATCACTTATCCAAAAACAAAATGAGAAATGTGTAAAAATCATTTTTATCCTATTACATTGAGTCTGAAAAGTTTCTTTCCGTTAGTCAGTGATGTAAAATATTATAGTGTATATCATGACATGTCCAATTTAATCAGTTAATTTTCCTCTTCCGAAAATAATAGAAAACATTAATCAGATGTTCATAAGGTAAGAACATGCTACCTTCTTTCAAAGATTTTGTTTGAGCTTAGTTATACATAAACTTATTCTTTTAATATAAACAAATGTTGCATTTCAAGCTCTAAAAATGGCTCTGCTGTAAAAGAATAGGTCTCTTATATGACTAAATGCCAATGCTGAAATATTTTTTTGTCAATATGAAAGTGCTCAAAAAGGAAATAATTAGACTTATTTTGTTGACTGTTTCAAACATAGAACAATTAGGTCCAAGAATTTCTTTTTTTTATGTTCTCAACATTATCTCGAAAATGGCTAAATATTTATCAGTTTTAACAGACTTAAAAAAATATTTACCCATTTTGATAAAATACATCATGATACAACACTTTCAAATAAAAGACTGTGGATATAGCGCCCACTATACCAATCAGCATTCCGGTGATAGTTTCTCGGTAGTTATATGTGCTAAATGGGATAGCAGTTTTAATGCTAGTTACAATTTAGTTTCAG